GGCTCTATTTCGGTGGTCGATATGATCTCGTCTCTCTCCAGGTCATTGATTACATGTTGGTACTGTTTTCGTCTATCGCTTTTCGTGTTTTTTACCATTTCCATTGCTTGTCCTCTAGCTTTTTCGGTCTTCGATTCTATTTCTTTGTTGGGACTGAACGGCAATTTCACATCATATTTTTTCGATGTTGCACTATATTCTACATTTTTATTGTTGCCATGATCGTCAATGAATTTCTCTACCTTCTCTCCCGTTTCAACGTCTACGTCTAATGTTGATTCCATCGTTGTTGATTGATTTAAATTGAGCAGTACGTTTGTAGTTTTCGACACGCCATATACCACCCATCCTATTGTTGTTCGTTTCGCCATTACGTTTTTCGATAGTCGTCGTTCTTCCGCCAGTTGTATTTGATTGATGTTGTCTAAACCAATTAACATCTCGACAGGTCGTTGTTCGTCTTTGAAATCTATTTTTAATCGTCGAATATATTCTTGCTGATCGGCATCGATGCATTCAAATTTTAGCTTATCAACTTTATCGTTTATTCGGAATCCTAATTCTTTATGACGCCCACCCCATGTCGGTATTTTTACTTTTATCATCAGATGTCCTGTCGTTGTTGGTCCAGTATTGCTCAATGTCTCCATGACTATTGGTTCTGTACGAATTTTTTCGACATTCCATTTTTCAGCTAATCTCGATGATACGAATGATGAACTTGCTCCTTCGTCGAACACTACCCGCACTGTTTCCCCGTTTATTTCGGTAACTAGGGTTTTATGCATGCTACGTCCATTTTGTATTAGTAACGATGGTTGACTACTCGTTGCCACTGGCTCGGCTGCTGTTGAACTTCTTGACTGATTATTCACTGATCTATCTGTTTCGGTACGTCGATGTATGGTTGTCCGTTGATAACACAAAAATGAAACATGATTTCGTCCACATATATGACATCTGTTCGTTGTTGCACATTCTCGACTGTTGTGACCTTCTTGTCCACATTTGAGGCACAATCGGTTCGACATGATAAATTGTCTACGTTGATCCATTGTCAGTTGACATTCGTCTGTTGTGTGATCACCGTCTTGGAAGAAACATCCGTTTGGATTGGTGGTCATCCTACCGTTACTTGGTTGCGTACCGTTGATCACTCGTTGTCGCTCCCTCATGATATATGGATTAGTGTTCATTCGTGCAGTTAGTGCTTGTTTCCTGTTCAACCCTCGTCGCAGAAATTTTTCGATATGATCAAGATTTAATTCGTACTCGTCTCCAATGTGATGATGATGAATTTCGTCTATTTTCGACATTACAAACGTAGACAGATGATAATCTTCAGACTTTAAATTCGTTAGATTTAACGTGTCGACGATTGATATAACAACTTCCAACATTTCTTCGTAGTCTTTTAATTGCGGTCGGGCCGATAGATACGGCGCACTCTGAATTTTTCTCGTCAACGCTGGAATTATTTGATGTCGCCCACCGTAATGTTGGTCTAACACTTTTTTGATTTCGTCCATTTTGGGATTCCTACGATCGATACGATTCAACAGATAGCGATGTTTTGTTGGTAGCAGATCTTGAATTTCTTTCAATTTATTCTTTGCGCCGTCAATTTCAGGATTATCGATTATGTAATGCTCAATATCTTCACGGAATTTATGGTAATCGATTGGATCGCCTGAGAATTTCTGAATTTGTTTCGCTTGTATTCTCACCGAGCCTGGTCGTGGATTCCAACGTGTGTAATTCGGCCATATTGTTGCTTGCGGATTCATCACTGTCTCGTTTTCATCTGCACCTTGTATTGATTCGTCTATCGGTGTACTTCTACCATCGTCTTGTTCCTGTCGTGTTATCGATTGTTCACTTATATTTTTATACATCGCTACTTCTATTGCCGCCCATTTATTGATAAGATCACGTTGTCGTCTTTCGATCTGAGGGAATTGCTTTTGTATCGACTTGATCAGCTTAATTCGGTCTTTTATATCGTCAACGTCCATGGCTATTGACTTTCTCGTTTCATAATCCGCGATGCACTTCTGAATCATCTGTATCGTCCTTATATATGCGAACATACGATCGACTACTTCTTTTTGCGCCATTAATCTATCGATTTCTACGTCGTCTTCGTCGTCGTTAATAATTTCCGCCACTGCGTTACAGTACTCAACGTACAATTCCTCGATCTCGTCGATTTTCATCGGTATCTGCCGTCTAAACAAATTGAATTCTGCTAACTGAATACGTCTTATTAGTGTTGTCATCCGTTGTTTAACTTCGATTACCGTCGTGGAACTCCCTGTTTTGTTTATCATTACGTCCATCTTCGTCATTGCGTCCGTCGTCGTCATTGCGTCCGTCGTTGTATCTTCGTCCGTCATCGTCTTTACGTCCGTCATCGTCTTTACGTCTGTCGTCTTTACGTCCGTCATCGTCTTTACGTCTGTCGTCTTTATGTTCGTCGTCGTCTCTACATTCGTCGTCGTCCCTACATCCGTCGTCGTCTTCTTCGTCGTTTCACTGTTTCTTGTTCTTGACTTCGTTGGTATTCCGTACTTCGTCATCCGCTGGTGCTGATAACGTTAATGTAGCGAACACTCATTGAATAATATAAATAGTTTATTGAATATTGATAAATTGATAAATGATAATTTAAGAAAAATGAACACATGATAATAATATAATATAATTCATCGTATACTGTCGGCAGAACAACAACACTATGTTTTATCGACTCTGCTTTTTATAATCATCACACATCAGCTGACGATAATCAAACGTCCTGTAGATGTCGATACCAGTTTGGTTAGTCATGTTCGTTGTATCGGCAACATTCTTCCCCTCTTCCTCGAGAAGCTCGATCTTCCGCACCGGCCTTTCAACCACTCGACCATCAACTTGGATTTTGTCCGTCCGGTAAACGTCATCTTTGTTCGAGATTCTTTCCATTACTCGACCAGCACGCCAGGAACCAATTGGTGTATTGTCGTTGACTAATAATACTTGATCGCCCACGTTCACGTATTCATAATGTTTATTATTTTTGCGATATAGCTGCAATTTCTTTAGATGAACATCTCGATACGCTCCATTTATCATTCTTTCTGTTCGTTGCCAATACTTGACCAATAAATAATCCGCAATGTCTTTCCATGGAGATATCAATAGGAAACGTTGATTATTGCCGTATACCAAATGATTCATCGTTAATCTATGTAATTCTGTCTGCATACGTGGTCGACTATTCATCATGGATTGTACTCGATACGATGCTAATAACATATTTCTTGTTTTTTGTTCCGTTTGCCACACAATGTTGCGAAGCCTACTCGTCATAGCTTTGACTAATATTTCATAAAATCTTGTAAACACCTTTAACGGTTTACTACTTATTTGTCGATATTTTGCACATCGTTTCTTTATCGTTATCAATAATTGCTGGGCGCCAAGCACAAAGTGTTTCAGGCTTAAGTTCGATAATGAATACGTCACTGAGCCATGCTCATCATTCTGATGCAGACATCGTACGAATGCTTTGTTGTGTTCACACGTTGGCCATACAATCGGATATTTTTCGTTATATTCTAATTCCATACGCTCTAATCTGGTCAAACACCATGCTAAACCACTTTCGTCATGGAACCACAGTTTCGTTTTCTCAAATTGTTCGTCTATAAATTGCTGTTGATGTAATTTGATCAATATTGTTAGTTCATCGTTGTTGTCATAGATTGATTTTTTCCATTCATCTGATTGTTTTTGAACTAATTCTTCCCATGATTGATACGACCGTTTTGTTGTTAGATCCCATCTTGCGATATCAAATCCTTTTTCCTTGCTGCCATTTTTGGTTACTTGCATCATAATCGATATCGGTTGTTCGTTCACGATTTCGGTTAATTTCAAGCGATATGATTTATTAATGTCATCCTCTAGTCGTTTGACGTTGTCCATCGAGTCTGACCGCACCATTGTTCTTTTCAGATGCAATATCTCCAATACCGTTTGACTGATGTTTTCGCCCACCGTAAATACCAATAGTTCACCGCTTACTATTTTTGTCGGTTTGATTAGTTTGGATTCGGCATACGTAAAACTTATTTGATTCTGGTTCGATAAATAACACACAGCATCTATAGCGTCTTGATTAGCACTGACAAATTTCGATAGTTCGTGGTCGTCTAATATTCTCTGTTGAAGTTCGAATGATTTTGATTCGTCGATATCGCTCATGGCCTTTTGTACCTTGTTTCGTAACGATTCTTCTAATTCGTCGTTCCAATCATACTTCATTGTCCAGATTTTATAGATAAGCGATCTTAATTTCAATGTTGATGCTAATGCACCTCCGAACAGGTCGTCTATCGACTGGTGTTGCAATAATGTTTGTTTTGTTGTTCTTCTACTCTCAAATTCGGGCATCATTACTTTCATGTTGTCACTTTCTGACTCGATTCGAAGTACTTCGTTTTCTGCTAACCCGTCGGACCATAATTGATTTAACGTTTCGTCTGATGACCGCCATCTCCGGAATTCCATTGACGTCGCACGCCAAATCTCCTTGTTCTGATCTTTAGGGAATTGGACGTCGTTCGTT